AGAATTACTTCTCATAGATGAGCAGAAAGTGGTATCTAAAGATGGGATCTACTCTTGGTGAAGATGCTGTGAACACTGTTGAAATGACAACAAAGGATTCAGAATATGACCTAAACTTAGTTGATAAAGCAGTGGTGTTTGAGAAGATTAGTCCAATTTTGAAAGAAGTTCTACTGTGGGTTAAATGCTATCAAACAGCACCACAAGCTATAGAGATATTTTTCATGAAAGGAAGAATCAATTGATGTGGCAAACTTCACTGTCTTATTTCAAGAAATTGCCACAACCACCCCAACCTTCAGCCACCACCACCCTGATCAGTCAACAGCCATCAAGACAGAGGTAAGACCCTCCACTGGCAATAAAATGACTACTCACCAAATGCTCATATGATCAATAGCATTTTATAGCAACACAGTATTTTTAAATTAAGGTTTGTGCATTGTTTTCTTAAACAACGCTATTGTACACTCTTAAGAGGCTGCAGTATGGTATAAACATAACTTTTATATTCACTGGGAAACCAAAAAATTCTTTGACTTGCTTTACTGTGGTGGTCTAGAACCAAAGCTGCAATATCTTGGAGGTATGCTTGTATCTCCAAGTCCCAGTTTAAATATTCCCTCTTCAGATGGTTCTCTGACCATACTATCAAAAAGGATCCTCACATGTCTTTATCATTCAGTTGCCTATTCATATCCTTTAATCAGAAAGGCTTAGGGTTCTCAGCCTGTTCTTTGACTTGTACATTATATGTGTGTTTATATATATTAGATAGATATACATATTCATATATAAATTTTGTTCCTGGTGACTTTTGATAAAATAAGTTTTAAATTTTTATACAGTACAATGCATCAAACTTATCCTTTCTGGAGTCAGTTTTTTATGTGTTGTATTATATAAGAAAAGTTCCCTTGTTCTTATGTCATATATATTCTTCGAATACTTTTGATTTTTGCTTTTTACTTTTCATTATCTAGAATTTATTTGTGTATACAGTATGAAATAGAGATCAAATTTATGTTTTTAACCAAGTGACAAGTATTAGTACAGCTGCCACTTTAGAATTCACTAAGATAAATACATCAGAAACAAACATGAGCAAAAAACTTTAAATTCAAATCTTGGCTTTCACTGTTTGCAATAGTAAAAGTTGGAAACAATATCTAACAATAGGGAACAGATAAATTATTTATATTGTTTATTTATAATGAAATACTATATAGCACTGAAAATGAATTAAGTCACATCTCTGGCAAGAATACAACTCCTATATATAAGGACTAATAAAAAATTTCAAAGGCATCTTCTACTCTTTTTCCCCAACACAGCCAAACTTCTTATAAAGACTGAATGTGACCTCTTTTTCCCCTAACCGTTTACTAATTCTCAACCTAAATTAAGCCTTGTTTTCATTACTTCAGAGATAAAGCTTTCACTAAGACAGCTAATAGTGCAAAGTTCAATAGCTGTTTTTCAATCTTCATTTTCTTTGGTTTCTCCACTCAATTGACTTTGTTACCCATGCCTTCTTTTTTTATTAGGTGTTCATCCCTTGGCTTCTGTGAAAATAACTCCTTTCATTTTCCACCTATGTTTCTGACCAATGTTGACTAGACTCTATCTAGATATTAAATTTTGGAGTTACTCAAAACATGGTCCTAGACTGTCTTCTCTTCTCACTCTATATTCTTTATCCTGCCATGTTTAATCATATCCTTGTCTTCAGTTATCACCTATTTGCAAAGTCTCAACAAATTATAGCTCCAAATGCACATACATAATTCCAACTTTGATAAATCTTGGATATTTCAAAGACACTCAAACTGAGTAGGTTAAAGTCAAATTCATAATATTCCCCACGAGCCTTATTACCTTCCAAAATCCCTAGTGTTCACAATCATAGAAAATGACACCACATTCCATCCAAGCATGCCAGTCAGAGAACTAGGAGTCATTCTTTATACCCTGTTCTTCTCCCATATTCAATCCAACAATCATGTCTACTTTGTTTCTTGAATCTGTCTTCATCTTTACTAACCCCCTGCCATACAAGATGTATGTATACCATCTCTCACCTGCACTATTGCAATGTACAAATAGGTCTCCACATATCACTCTAACCCCTCTGACACATTTCTTGCTGTGTAGTCAGTCTTACACGGACTAGCCTCTCCCTCCTTTTCTAACCTTATCTCGTAGGACTCCCCCTTGCTCTAGGTATCTCACCTCACTGCCTTCTTTTATTTCAAGTATCCGATGCTCCCCATTGCTATAGGACCTTCATAGGTACAATTCCTTTCCAAAGAATGCACTTCCAACCTATTCTGCCCCTCTCTCACTCCATTGTCTCCTAACATCTGCTTTCAAGCATTACTTCCTCAATGAATATGCAGGCTAAGTCAGAAGCCAAAACTTTTACTTTGGTTTGTAATTACATAGCTATATCTTTGATTATTTGGATTAATGTCTATCTCTGACACTTCACTATAATTCTGTAACAGCAGGACAAGGCATCGTCAACACCAATCACAGTCCTACACACTTAGTGAAGACTCAACATATAAGTAAATGATTTAGGATTATCATTTCACAGGTAAATGCAATATGTACTACAGCCACTAGAGGCTGCCTTGCTTATCTTTTTTGTTTCTCCAGAACAAGACCTGGAAAGATTGAAAATACTTAAAAACAAACAAACCAAAAAACCACTTTTATGCTAAAGTAACTTACTATACATAAAATTGCAGTGATTTCAAATCAACATTCACAAACTACTTATTTTATTATTGTCAAGCACATGTATATTAATCAATATTATTAATATTTCTCTTTAAAGAGAATCACATATTATTCAGATTTATTGAAAAAGAAAACTTTGTTTGCCATGGTTGAATTGCTTGGAAACCTCCAAAATAAATGCATAACTATCAAAATTTTTTAAAAAAATATATCCATGCAACAAAAAAGTTTATCTAGATTATACCTGTGGAACTCTTACCACACACTGAAAAACAATAAAACATTAGATATTACTAAAACTTCAATGCTAGTTATAATTATTTTAAGACTACTAAAGCCAAAAGTAATTTTTTAAATACTAAAATGACTGACATGCTTGGGAGAAAAGCCATCTTTTACATTTTCATTGTTAAGGTACAAACTTCAAAGACTATATTATTCAGATGAAATATCAGCTAAAAAGGCCTAGATTAGTGAAAATCTTTCTAAGTAGAAAGGAAATGTCCCCAAACTATTAATAATAAATTATGATAAGTAGAGATCGGCACTTATTAATATTCTAGAGTATGCTCCTTCTTATATATTTTTAATTGATACCAAACCTCTATGTATTGTGGAAAAGAAAAGCACCTACTGGGAAGACTGGAAAGTTGATTTGTTATGGTCTTACAAGATCACACACATACTCCATGGTTATAGGATAGAAAGTAGAAGATGGAAACCACAGATTTGTATAGAAAGTTAGTCATGCAAGAACTTCTACATTCAACTTCTTACAACTTTCTGAAGAAACATTTTAAATCTATTTTCAACTTGCATTTTAGAACTGAGACCCTAAATTAAGAAACTGCCTTTCAGCCCTACTGACTCAATTCTTTTTTCAGGCTTTAGTTGCTAAAACAGTTGATATTTGTTTTATTTTTTTTAAATCTGTCAAATAGTCTCAATACATACTAATATTTCATTAATTAATATTGGGTATTGGGTATTTTTTCATGTTTTTCTTTAACATACAGCACAGAAAAACATTTACCATTAAAACAGGAGGAGCTAATGTCCCATAGAAAATACCTTAAAATTATTTAAAGTATTAAAAATACTTTAATTTAATTTAAAATAGTACTAACACTATTTTTAAAAAAGTTTGTAGCAGAAACAAAATTTAAAAACTCAAAGGCTCATTCAAATGAAAATTTTAGTTTACTGAGCCTGGATAAGCTGAAATTAAAGCCTACACTTAACCGTTGGCATACCTTTACATGGAAACCAATAACCTGACCTAAGGTTATATAAGAATGCTCTATTTTAATTTTTCCACAGAGTTAAAACAGATACTTTACTGCTTCAATGTAATATGTCATTTACCTAATAGTCATAAATTACTGCTGCCTATTGGAAGCTGCATAGTAAGAAAGGAAATCTAAAAGCTGCAAAAGTGGCAATTTGCGTGTGAAGAAAATACAGAAGTTATCAAGAATAGCAGTCTAATAGCATTGACTGTAAAATTCCCTTTACCACCTCAGAGTGTAATCAAGGAATGACATAAAAGATAAATGATGATCTTCTAAACTTAGGTGTATACTTATTTTATGTGCTAACACCTAATAAAGGAAATCCAACTTTAAAATAGTTAAGTTCCATAATCAAATCTTGAATCTAAACGAACGAGTCAGAAAGGTTACAAGGCATAATGGTAAAAAGAATGTTTTGTACATAAGAGAAATCACGTTAACTCCTTTGAATACTTGCTAGTGCAGCTGATTTGGCCAGGTTATCCAAACTCTTTAGGCTTAAGTTTACTATCTCTCTATTGGTGGATCGGCATTTGACATTTTGAAGGGTCCCTGTTGTGAAAATCCTAAGTGTTTATTGAGCACCTAATAGTGTGTTGTCCAAATCGAAGGTGTTCACAGATCCAGGCAAATCCAAACCTCTCAGCTTCGTTTTCCATTTAGCGTCCCCATCTCCCACCCATACCCCTTTTACAGGATTAACTCCGGGGCGGGAAGACGCGCTCTGAGCTGTAAGGAGTCGGTGCTGCCGCTAGGCCCCGAAGTGGGCAAGCACATGGCAGGGAAGGGAAGAAGTCACATTCTGACTACTGCACTGGGCACTTGCTACACACGCGGAGCAAATGTCACCCATTGGCAAGCAGTGAGAAAAAGCGAAGCGCTCTGAAGGAGCAGGGCGCACGCGGGTGAGAGGCCATAGATCCCGTACCGCCGCACCTCAGCGCACCGGTCCCTGAACTTTACCTGGGGCTTATCCGGGTCAGGCCTGATCTCGGGAACGAGGCCTCCTCAGCGCGAAGGCAGCACCCAATGCCATTAAAGCTCTCGAGCAGGGTTCCCTCTGTCCCCCCGAAATGACAGCCAGGTGGGCTTCTCTAACCCAGCACCACAACCTCCTCTCAACCACGGAACGCCCCTGACACCTATCCGACCGCGGCTGCTCTCGCGATAATTCTGGGGCCAGTCCCCCGTAACTTCAATCCCTGCCCTCCTCCTCTGGCCAATAATGAAGAAGTTGTGGGCGGGGTTTTGCGTTTGAGCGGAGAGCGCGGCCTTCAATCTTTGCTATCTGAAACAGAGACTGGGCGGGGCTGAGGTGGGCAGGGGCGGGGTTGAGGCAGGGAGATGGGCCGGGCACGCACCAATTCTCGCGATGTTGGTGACCAGGAAGACGCCTGCAGAGCCCGGCTGCTGGTGCAGCAGCGGCTGAGGCGGCAGGTGCTACTGCACTCGGACCTCCTGCCTCCGAGCCTACGCTTGATCTCTGGGTGGGGAGGCGGGACGTGGTCAGGCCAGGGCTGTGGAGGTGCGCTGTGTCCACTGAGACTTAGGAGGGATTCAGGCTGCGGCCTGTCAGAGCCAGTCAGGGAGGCGCCCACACTCCTGACAGGATAAGATGGCGGCGATGGCGCCTGGAGGTAGTGGCAGTGGTGGCGGCGGCGTGAATCCATTCCTCAGCGATTCAGACGAGGACGATGACGAGGTAGCGGCGACAGAGGAGCGCCGGGCAGTACTTCGTCTGGGTGCCGGGGGTGGCCTAGATCCTGGCTCTGCAGGCTCGCTATCGCCACAGGATCCCGTGGCCTTAGGAAGCAGTGCGCGGCCAGGGCTCCCTGGGGAGGCGTCGGCTGGTGCGGTGGCCCTGGGGAGCACCGGGGAGACCCCGGCCCGATTGTCAATTGATGCGATCGCGGCTCAGCTGTTGCGCGATCAATACTTGCTGACCGCCTTGGAGCTGCACACCGAGCTATTAGAGAGCGGCCGCGAGTTGCCTCGGCTGCGCGACTACTTCTCCAATCCAGGCAACTTCGAGAGGCAGAGTGGGACCCCGCCTGGGATCGGGGCACCAGGGGTCCCTGGAACAGCCGGCATTGGAGGCGTTGGAGGTCGGGAACCGAGTACAGCGTCGGGCGGGGGACAGCTCAGTAAGTGGACGCAGCTTGTCACATTCCAGCAGGGTTGTTGGGATTGTAAGGAGTTACTGTGGGGCAGAGGGATATTTCTGGTAGGCACTGAGTATACGGACGTTTTAGGGAGCAAGAGTTTTGTGGGGGTGTCTTTTGCGGTGGAGGCAAAAAGATCCCGCAGTGACTTCTCTCTGCTAGTCTCCCACCCTTGGCTGGTGTTGCACTTGCTCCTGGCTCCCTTGTTGGCGTCGGTTATCTATAAAATACCGAGAGTTTCTAGTTTACTGGCTATTACAGAATTCCAGAAGGCTCCCTTGTAAACTGGCTTATTGCTTTAAGCATTTTTCCTTTTTCTCCAGTTACCTGGATCACACTACCAGGAAATAGTGTTTCTTAAACTGCCCGCAGTAAATTCTGGGTCTCAAAGTCGAGAGAGAGAGAATAGGAAACGCATCTCTCTCCGCAAAGTCAAATGCACTGAAGACCCTTTGTTTTGGGGACGACTTTCTCACCCCAGAATTTTCTGTTTAAGTAAAGTCGATGTAATTCACTTTCAGTGCCTAAAGTAGTGTTCAAAATGACAGGAAATCCAAGGAACAGTGTAGGCAGGTTCTGACTGCAGTCTATCTCACCATCCTACTACCACCTTACTGGCTTTTTTCTCTGCTTAGATAATTTACTTTTTTATTTCATTATAATCATTTTTAGCAGCATAGAGTAATTGCTTACCCCATTCATCATATATTTATTTATAAGCGTTTCTTATGGCTTGAAAACTTGCTATCAAGGATGTACTGTATAGAGGATTCCCAGTATCCTCCCTTTGGGAGGTAACTTATTTTCCCATATGAGATGTTTTTGAGTGTTACATGAAGCCAACTACAATTTGGCCTCATATGTTAATTCTATATTAACACATGTTAATATAGAGTTTTATTACTGTAGCCTAATTGATTTGTGTGTGTGTGTCTTTACTTTTGAATGGTGCCAGAGACTTAAATTGCCAAACTCAGACAAAATGAAGTGCAAAGAGTGCATTTTCTATCAATATAAATCTTAAGCACATTTCTCTCTTGGATTTGGTATTTTCTTAATAGGTATAACTTCCTTACTCAGTATGTAATGTAAGAGATTTTCTCATTGCTGACCTCTAAGACTTATAAAATGTGACAAGGAGCAGTGTAACAAAGTTGTTTGTAATGGTTGTGGCTTTTTAAAAAAAGAATTCTAAATTATCAAATGATTTTCACCTGATAGGCTCTAGCTCAAATGTCACCTGTGTAATTGCTTTACATACTCTCCCACCTTCGGTAGTTGCTTGTTTCTTTCATTGTACTACTTTCAAACCTCTGTCATAGCCTTTAGCTTTTTTGTATTTGATTTGTTGACAATATAATTTTTGTCCATAGTTAGAGTCTTCTTTCTGGTAAATTCCTCACACTTTACACAATCCCTGGCCTAGTGTTGAACATAACTGAATTGTATCTGCCATACTTTCAACCATATTAATTACAATTTAATGAGTTATTCCTTCATAACTGTATTCATTTAATTTTAAAGACTTTCCTTACCTTTTTAGCCTGCCTTATTATGACTTTATATTACTGTTTATACTAAAAATTTACCCTTATAAACTTTTTTATTGAAATAATTATATTTGGACTCATTAAATAATTTAGCAGTGTGTTAGAGTAAAAATGTACTTCTAAATGCCTTTGCATTATACATTTTTTTAGTTTCCTGAAATAACTTAAGTCCTGTGACTGAAAATCACAATTAAATATTCATGTGCACCTGTGCTTTTCTATTACCCTCATTTAAGTACTGGAGAGAGATGTGTCATGTTCCAACAGGGTTGTTGGAATTGTAAGGAGTTACTGTAGGGCAGAGGGGTATTTCTGGGTGGGTACTCAGTATAGGGACATTTTAGAGACTGAGAGTTTTGGAGTGAAGGGTGTCTTTTGTGGTAGAAGCAAAAGGATCCCACAGTGACTTCTATCTGCCAGCCTCCAACCCTTGGCTGGTGTTGCACTTGCTGGTGGTTCCCCTGTTGGTGTCAGTTATCTATAAAGTACAGAGAATTTCTAGTTTACTGGCTATCACAGAACTCCAGAAGGCTCCCTTATAAACTGGCTTATTGCTTTAAGCATTTTTCCTTTTTCTCCAATTACTTGAATCACACTACCAGGAAACGTATGTGTGTGTGTGTGTGTGTGTGTGTGTGTGTATGTATGAAAGTTTTTGTATTTTTCATTAATACAAAGCAAATGAAAATAACGGGAAAAAGATCAAAATTTTCCATAATCCCATCAGTGGTATTTACTTTTCCTGTCTTAAACGGTATTTTCCTTTCCTGCATTTTCTAATTCACATATTTTAAAAAGCAAAAATTGGTATAAACTGTTTAACATGGCTTTATGTTGACAGGCACTACACTTTTTACCAATAATTGAGATAAAATTTGCATACAATAAAATGCACGAGTTTCAAGTGTACAGTTTGGTGAGTTTTGACAAATTAATCACTATCAGTTACAATATGGAGTATTTTTTATTATCCCCAGAATTTCTTTACTCTTTGCACTCAATATCTCCACTTCCATGTAGATCCCCACTGATCACTTAGAACAGGATTTCTCAACCTGGTCTTAGGCATTGGTAACATTTTGGGTCTGACAGTTCTTTGCCATGGCAGAAAGAACACATGACAGTTCATGTCTCCAGCATTGTTGTCTGGGGAGGAGGAGGGCAAAATTTCCCTACTTGAGAACCATTTCCACGGATAAGTTTTACCTCTTCTAAGATTTCATATAAATGGAAATAATGGAGCATATATTTTTGTGTGTCTGGCTGTGTTTGCTTGGCATGTTTTTGAAATTCATACTTTTTTGTGTGTATCAGTAGGTCATTCCTTTTTGGTTTTTAGCCCTTCATCTGTTGTTAGACATTTGTGTTTTTTTCCAAGTTGGGGCTGTTATGAATACAGCTGCCATGAACATGTTTGTACAAATTTTGCATGACATTTTCATTTGGGGGGTAATACCTAGGAATGGAATTGCAGGGTCATGTAATTAGTATGTGTTTAACTTTGTAAGAAACTGCCAAGCTGTTTTCCAAAGTTTTAAAGTTTTTACCACCAAGGTAAGAGAGTTCCACTTTTTTTTTTTTTTTTTTGAGACAGAGTCTCACTTTGTTGCCCAGGCTAGAGTGAGTGCCGGGGCATCAGCTTAGCTCACAGCAACCTCAAACTCCTGGGCTCAAGTGATCCTGCTGCCTCAGCCTCCCGAGTAGCTGGGACTACAGGCGTGTGCCACCATGCCCGGCTAATTTTTTTGTATATATATTTGTTGGCCAATTAATTTGTTTCTATTTATAATAGAGACGGGGTCTTGCTCTTGCTCAGGCTGGTTTCGAACTCCTGACCTGGAGCAATCCACTCGCCTCAGCCTCCCAGAGTGCTAGGATTACAGGCATAAGCCACCATGCTGGGCTGAGAGTTCCACTTTCTACACATCCCCTAAACATTGGTTTTTCAGGCTTTTAAATTTAAGTCCTTCTAGTGAAAGTGTAGTGGTATCTCATTGTGGCTTTAATTTTCATTTCCCTGATGACTAATGATGCTGAGCTCTTTTTCCTATGCCTTTTGCTATTAGTATATCGTTTGTGAAATGTCTGTTCACATCTTTTGCCCATTTTTTAATTAGGTTTTTTGTTTTGTCTCATTATTGAGTTACAAGCATTCTTTGCGTATTCTAGATCCAAGTCCTTTACCGAATATGTGTTTTGCAAGTATCTTCTCCCAGTGTAGTTTACCTTTTTATTTTCTTAACAGTGTGTTGTTTTGTGAACAAAAGCTTTTAATTTCATCAAGTCCAACTGGTCAAGTTTTTTTCTTCAATGATTTATGTTTTTTATATCCTGTTTAAGAAATATTTGCCTACTCCAAGATTTCAAGATTTTCTCTTGTTTTCTTCTAGAAGTTTTATAATTTTAGCTTTTTCAGTTAGGTCTGTGATTATAGGAACTGTATGTTAATGAAGGTATCATAAAAGAGAAGAAATATTTCTTAAATATTTCTCTTATAAACATGCAGACATAGCACAAAATTTAATTTACTGACAAATGGATTGTATGTGTTAAAAATAGCAATGCCTATAAATGTCTTAACTGAGTCAGAAAATAGATAATACTAAAATACTTCTGAAAACTGTGCATAATACCATAGTTCTGAAAGTTTTAACTAAGCTCCATAAAATATATTTTCTAGGACTGAGGTACCACCTATTTTTAAAGGTACTCTATATTTAATTCTAGCATGTTGATTCTTACTATCGTGAAAATAAGACCTAGTGATGGGTGTGGCTATGCAGTGTGTCTGCACAACCCATGCATTTCTTCTCGAGCAGTAAAGACGAGCAGCCCTTCTCATCTGCCCCATTGTGACAGCTACTATCCCAGAGGGGACAGAAAAGGTGCAGGCAGCACCACCAACAAGGCCAGCTCCCCCTGTCAGGTCCCGGCCATCTGTGCATACTGCAGGCTGAGGCTTTGAGGGGAAAGTCTCCTCAGTGAAGTGAGGAGCCAGACGCTCCGCTTTAGGTATTGTATGTCCCCAGGGGGAAGAAGGAAAGCTGTGGCTGCCATTTTACTCAGCACTGTGGCCTTCTCTCACCCCCACAAACACCAGGGGATAGGGGAAAAGCTTCAGCAAGCAGTCTCCTACTGAGCCTAGAGAGATCATTTCTGCTCCACTGTGCAGATTGGACCCAGTGCTCACTGGATCTCTGATAAATAAGCCAGCCCTGCCCATTTAATGAGAGCTGTATTGCTCAACATGAGAGATTGTAGCCAATGGTTCGAAAGGAAATAGAGTTGCAAGAAATTCAGGATGGCATTCGGGGTTTGGAGAGTTATGATGATGTTCCAGAAGAAGACGACTTAACTATATTTGAATAAATGTAGATTGTTATACCATACTTAAAAAATATAACACATCCCCTGAAAATAAGCCCTAGGGTG